CTATAGCCAAATGAATCAAACAATACAGTCATAACGATTAATCTCACCCAGTTTAACTGGCTAAATAAATAAATAAAAGCAATAAAACAAGAATCACGGAATGGTTTTTTATTTACATATCAAAATCTGGTGTTATTGTACAAAATAGGGTACATATTTGTTTTCCAAAAAGCAACTAACTTACTTAATAAATTATTAATATAGACACTATTATATGTGACTAAAATTATATCAACATTTTTTGTTTCCTCAAAGTTGCTATCAGCAATACAAAAATAACATTTTTGTACACCAGTTGCATACATTTGCAGTTGCACCTGTGCCTTGAACTTTTCAGTTATAGTACCATTTTTTATATACCTGTCCTTAGCTTTTGCCTTAGTAGGGCATTTTATTTCAACAACAGCATCTTTCATTAAGCCATCAGGAGACGCTGCAATCATTGGATACTCTTGACATACATAAAGCCCACATGAAGTAATTGGTTTTTTTAATATCTTAGAGATAGTCTTTCTGACAGATAGCTCCAATTGTCTGCCTCTATTCATAGCAGCTGTATCGGGAATTTTTGCACCCATTATAGCAGCCACCAAGGAACCATCTTTTGTATGACAGACACTAGCTTCATGAGCCTTTGATGCTGTAATACGGCCATATCGCATCTCATACCATAAGCTGCTCTTGTTCTGCCCCCTTGTCGCTTGTTCAATGGTACATAGCACAGTTTCAGTAAATGTTGCTTTCATGACATCTATAAGTTTGTCTATGTTTATCTTAATTTCTGGAGATTGGTCCATTATAAAACAGTGCAATGAGTACTGTGTTATTTTGTGTATAAAATCATTCTGATACCTTAGCAATTCACAGCTCTCAACTTTTCTTCTTTTGGCTTCTGGAAGAAATCGTGCATATAGTTCCATTGAACTTGGTCTGGATGGAACTTTCTTTTTAGCCAAATGCTGTGCAGTTATGTACTTGAGAGTAGTCCCTATACGAGATAAAGTAGGTTTCCTCCAATAGCATTCTACGGAAGTACATGCAGGCTCTTCGGAGCGACGATGGACCCACATCAAAAAAGCAACTGCATGCTTGCATCCTCCAGCTGAAGCAGCACAGTCGTGGCACTGACAACTAATAACTTCGTTTTCGTTTTCGTCAACAACTAATGTCACATTATAACCAGTGTTTCTCACTTTATGTTCCGGGCACATTTTACACTTAACTGTACAAACTCCAAGTTGCCGGTATAGTTGGACATATCCAATCGCATCATCTCCATAGGACTCCCTTGCAGACCTGTGAAACAAAAGAAAGACCATTAAAAAAAGTTATTTACACGTTCCATAACCTAAGAGATATGTTACAATTTTGTTAAGTTATATAAAATATTAGCAAATAAATGATTTGTACGTCATACTTACACTGCTGTTTTCACATTTTTAAGTTCCGCAGCATAATAATCAGCGTTATTCTTAAAGAAAAGTGCAACCATAAACGCGTCTATTTTAGGAAGAGTTCTGCTATCAGCTCGTACAAAATTTGACTCCATTTTGCGATTTGTATAGATATTAATACCACTTCTTTCTGAATCTATTAAAAAATACTTTTAGAAATAACTAAAACACTTAAAAAAAACACATAAATGCGCACTTAACATCGGTTGAAGGAATCCACAAATTAAGATTTTTATTTTGTTTACTTCATATCTTTTAATCTATGGTTCACTTTTGACACTTGTGACCATTGCGGTGTCGTCACAAATTTGTGTCCAATCACAGGACGTTCCCGTCCGAGATAAAATGATTAAAAAAAATTAAATTTATTTCGCTAAATTTGCTTAAAACTTTACACCAAATAGTGTAAAATAAAATAAATTATGCTTTTCTATCCTTTTATCTACTAGGATGGCCATAATTTAGAGAATATTTTCAATGTTGTCAAATAGCCTATTGGCAAACCCAGGTTACTAATGTCAGCCAGAAAGTTACAGGATCCCTGAGGGTGTTATACCGACTAAAGAATTTTTTACCTTCCGAGATTAAAGCGATGTTGGTACAAACTTTAATTTTTCCCATTATGGATTATGGTGATGTGTGCTACTACGACCTGAATGCAGATCTCCTCAACAAATACGACCGTCTTCTTAATAACTGCATTCGATTCATTTTTAATCTTCGTAAATATGATCATATTTCCTCCTTTCGACTTAAATTAAATTGGCTCCCAATTCGTCAGCGTCGTCACCTGCGGGCACTAACGACTCTCTACACTATTCTCAACTCTCCTAACTCGCCTACATACTTGACATCCTCCTTCCAGTTCTTGTGCTCCAATCATACATACATTTTTTTCGGCGGTAGGTGTAGAAAATTATAGAAGTGTCGTAAATCTCGTAAAATTGAATTTAAATTATATTTATTGTAACTTTTGCCTAATTTTATATCTTGGGAGAAGTTAACACAGTCTATGTGCTGGTACTCAAAAAAACTCATATTTGATGAACATTTAATGTGATATAAGCCAATAAATCGACACCACCTGCCAGCTCATCGCTTTACAGTGTTTAACAATTTATTTTATATTATAAACAATCCAGAATGTCGCAGTTCTCTGATATATTATCGGCGCAGAGGACACTTGAGGAGATATTCGCGAAGAAGATGTCTGATCTTGAAGCTCAGATACAAAGTGCCGGTCCCGCAAAAGACACTGTGGCCAAGGTTGCGGAGGAATTCCGAACTTTTCGGGAATTAATTTTTTCCATGTTGGGCATGCTTCGGAAACAAATCGGTGAATGCTCCAGTCCATGCTTGGGTGTCGAGGAAGCTGAGAAGGAAGACTGTAGGAGTGTCGCAATACAGGTCATAAACAGCAAGTTGGGCCTGAGGGATATACCTGCTTCCTCCATTAAGGTCTGCCACCGACTTGGAGTATCGAATAAAGAGCGTCAGCGGCCTATACTTGTTAAGTTTTCCACCATGGATGACAGATCGTCAGTTTGGAAGGCTAAATCAAGACTCAAGGGTTCCCCTATAACTATAAAGGAGTTCCTGACAAAGAACAGGCAATCCATATTCGCCAAGGCCAGGCTACATTTCGGTGTCCCTGCGTGCTGGACTCAAGATGGGATTATAGTCATCAAAGTCCCTGGTGGAATCCGGCACAGGATCACGACCATCGACGAGCTGAACCCGCTGCTGGTGAAATATCCAAGGGCGCAAACGACTTCCTCAAAATCCTCAAAGCCTGCAGGAGAAAGTAGGTCTGATAAATAAATTCAATTTAGCAGTGACATTTAGCATTCACTTAATAGTAATATTTACCATATAATTATACCACCTCATAATTATTCTTTGTATACAAGACCCTTAGCCCATTTCGTATACATATCTTTCAATTGTTTTTATTCGTGTAGTTTTCTAACCTTTATTTTCTTATTGTTTTATCCATTTTTTGTTCATTTTGACTTGACGTTTTAGGTGTATCACCAAAGAGTATAGAGCAGCATAGATTAAATATTTAATCATTCACTCATTTCGGTCACTGCTGTTCGGATACGCTGCGCGTAATATAATATCTGATATTGAGGGTGAACCATAGTCTAACATTAGTATTAACACCTATGTTTTCTTCACACTGTTATGAATTGCATTTTAAATTTTTGTTTTTTGTTCAAACTTTTTCTAGTGATGTAAGCTGGCGGGTGGTGCAGAGATACAAGCGTTGTACCAGAACATCGGCACGCACATAGTTAATCGATATATATATATATATATATATATTTTATTTTTATTACTATTAGTATTACTTATAAATATTTATAGTTCATTCGTACTTATGTCTTCAGGTAGTGAATATTATGTTTCTGCCAATGAATCTGAAACCTCTTTTAGTGATGATAGCTTCTCTTCCGTAACAGAAACTCTCGGTGGTGTTTTACGCAACAAGTTTAGTAGTAACACAAACAGCCAACTATTTAATGTGTGCCATCTAAATGCCCAAAGTGTTCCTAGCCACTACGCTGATTTGTATGACGCATTTTATGATGCTAATATTCATGCCGTTCTGATCTCCGAGACTTGGCTCAAACCGCATCTTCTCTCCACCTCTTACTCCCTGCCCGGTTTTATTCTTATCCGGAACCATCGGATCGGTGGCGTGGCTATTTACCTACGGAGTGACTTTTCCTATAGAATTATATCAGCTTCCTCTTCTCATTATAATGCTTCTGCTGAATTCCTATTCTTAGAGGTTTGTGTCAAAGGCGCTAAGGTTGTACTCGGTGTTGTCTATTGTCCCCCTTCAATTGACTATTTCACTGATTTCGAAACAGTTCTTGAATCTCTGGGTGCAGAGTACGCTCATCATGTCATCATGGGTGATTTTAATACCAATCTCCTAGCCCGAAACTCCACTCGTTCCTGTAAACTCCAACTCCTTCTTGAGTCGGTCAGCTTTCTTGTTCTGCCATTACAGGCCACTCACCACAATAATGTCAGCGAGGACACTTGGCTCGACTTAATTATTACCTCTAATCCTTCCCTTGTTTCCTCTCATGGTCAGCTTGCCGCTTCCGGATTTTCACATCATGACCTGATTTTCCTCTCCTACGTTCTCAAACCTCCTAAACCCAAACCTAGGATTCTTTACAGGCGTTGCTTTGGACGAATGGATATTGACAAATTGAATGACGATGCGTCACATATTGACTGGACATCCCTGATCGATTCTACTTCTATCGATGACAAGGTGCACGTATTTAACGAAATAGTGACTAAACTGTACGAAATTCATGCACCGGTTAAAAAGGTTAAGGCCTGGACACACCTGTCATGCAGCCTTCCGATCCGACTCCGGTCCGATATTGCTTAAAGAATCTGATCGGTGCGGGATCGGAAAGGGGTGAGCACACATGTCATGCCCACTTCCTGCTCTTTTCAGATTTGACACTCAGTCTACTCGAAATCGCCAGTTGAAACGGTTGCGAATATATTGCGCGAATGTTGAAACATTTTAGCAATCGTGATTTAGCTATTGTGGCTATCTGTTTAGATGAAGAAGATCGACTTAATGCGAAGTCTTCGATGAAGAGTAGTGGAAAACGTAAATATTGGGTTCATGATGCGTGGAAAACACGAGACAAAGAAGGAGAGTTTGCCACACTTTTACCTCACCTGTTGGACGACGAAACAAAATTTTATCATTATTTTAGAATGCCGATGGATACATTCAATCGGTTGGAACTTAAACTCCAAGAAAGATTAGCCATGCAAGACACGTATTTTAGAAAAACTATCACTCCTAGACACCGTTTGGCTACATTTTTAAGGTAAGATACTTTGTAATTTACATAGTTGTCGAATCATCCGTTTATAAATGCCGGTCACTTAAAATCTGTTAATAAGCCTATCTCTGAAATTAGGTAAAATATTAAACGTAGTTATAATAAATTGTTATTAAAATTATTCAAGCCTTTTTAAGATAGTGGCCATTTTACATCAAGATATTGTCATAAAATAAAATTAATTACAATCATAGTGTGTGAGTAAATCTTCATAAAAAATGGTTCAGCCGTAACAAACTATAAACTATAGGGATGTAAAATGCTTGCTAATCCCCTTCACACCTAAGTGTATTTTACTTTTTTGAAAGTGCTTTTTCCTTTAAATCAACAAAGAACTATATTGCGGCAAAGCAAGAATCATTGGTACAGGGACAATACATTACTGCTTTTTACTAGAATTAGAGCATAGTAGACACAAGGAATTTTTCAAAAGAGAATTTATTAATTTGTAATTACATAGTTACATCAAAACATAGATTTATTATAGTTGAAAAAATGTTACGTTGGTGTACGTGTCAGCATTGACAGCAGGAGATGATGATGTTTGTGGTACACCACTCGAAAGATGTCCATCTAAACACGATCCTTCTTCTTCTGACAGTGTGAAAGATGTTGTGTCAGAGGACACATTCCTTGTAACAACCATAGCAGTTTGTCGGTTGTTATTTTCACGAAGCTGCTCTAGTTCATACTCTTGAACAATATTAAAGATCTTCCCTTTGGCAGAATGTAAGCGCAGAGGATCCAGTGATTTCAGAGATGCAGCAATTCCAGACAAAAATACATCAACGGGATGCTGTTCGTCATTGTCACTAGGTTTTTTTTTTCTTCTCAGCTTCTTTCTCAGCCAATAAATATGCCATTAGCTGAGATGATGCAGATTCTCCAGGTTTCATTTCGGTATGTGGGAGCTTTCTTTTGCGTTTTGCAGATGGAGTCCTGTTGTCGATAGAAACTCGACTAGCTGATGGAGTTCTAGGTGGTAGCAACGACTCGGATTCTGCAGTCCCATCAGAGACATACTCATTTATATCTGCATTTATATCATTGTTTAGGTTCTGCATTTGGGGGTCATCAGTGGGTTGGGTTCCATTATTTTCTTCCGCTTCATCAGGAACGTTACCTATACCTTTCCGCTCGGCGAGGTGAGGAATCAGAAATTCAAGAATGGTCTCAAATTTGTATTTATTTGAAGATATAGCCGCCTGTCCAGATTTGGTTTTCCGTTTTTGTCTCGCTCTTCGCAGACTGTCACGAATTCCGTTCCACTTCTTTTTACATTCCTCCTCTTGACCTAAAGAATCAAAAATGTATAATTAAAACTATTATAATTAGATAGCATCATAGCAGGAAAATAAAAAACCTTATTAAATTATTAATAATTATTGATTAAATATAGTTTGTATGTGTATTAGTATAAGTTGTTTGTTACAGGTTTCTTGCTACTGGAGATTCTTTCAAGACCATCTCATTCACTTACAGAATGGGAAGAAGTACAGTTGGTTCCATTGTTCATCGTACAAGCAGAGTTGTAATTGAAGTACTTTTAAACGAAGTAATGCCAGCTCCGACAGAGGACAGGTGGAATGAAATAGCAATCGAATTTTGGGAAAGGTGGCAGTTTCCCAATTGCATTGGTGCTTTGGATGGAAAACATGTGACAATACAAGCTCCAAAAGCATCAGGAAGCCTCTATTGGAACTACAAGAAAACATACTCCATTGTTCTTTTAGCGCTAGTTGATGTTCGTTACAATTTTATTTTTGTAGACGTGGGAAGCTACGGAAGAAACTCTGATGGTGGTGTTTTGGCGAATTCCAATTTAGGTAGAAAACTATCTCGAAACCAACTTAACATCCCAGACAAAAAAGGCCTCCCAGGAACTAACATGGAACTTCCCATGGTTATAGTTGCCGATGAAGCTTTCCCCCTCACAAAAAATATCATGAGGCCATTTCCTGGAAAGAACTTGTCTAACGAGCAAAGAATTTTCAACTACAGATTGAGCAGAGCTCGAAGAATGTCAGAAAATGTCTTTGGCATTATGGTGCAAAAATTTCGAATGTTCATGAGGCCTCTCCAAGGAAATCCTGACAACATAACAAGGGTAGTTCTTGCAGCATGTATCATACATAACTTCATTAGAATTAACGAAGACTACAAAGTGCCAGAAGTAAGTGACAATACTGACACAATTCCAGTGGAGAAATCTCGTCTTCAGGATTTTCCTCGTCGCCGAGGAGGGGAAAATCGTGAAGCATTCAATGTAAGAGAGCAGTTTAAGCAATTCTTCAACTCTGAAGAGGGTAGTGTGGAGTGGCAAGAACGCCGGGCTTTCATAGGTTAATAAGTTAGTTGTTCTTCCTTGGAACTGTTCGAAACTATGAGTATTTTATAGCTCTTCTTGTGTTACTTACAACTAAACATTATGGTTTTATATTTTAAAAAATTTGAAAATTTGTGAGAACCTGTTTACAATAAAGAATATGTTTGAAACTTACTTGCACAAAATCAATGTGTTGAATTAATTATAATGCAAAATAGCAAAACAAATTGAAATAATACAAGTACAAAAGATAGCAAAAATTTGCCAAATTTCAAGCCGATATCTTCAAAATTGCGGCCGGTATCGCGTGACAGACATACGGACAGACAGACAGTCAGACAGAAAATCCAAATCAGATCGAGTCTACTCTCTAATCATAGACTCACTTACGTTCGTCAATTACTATAGATAAGAATAAATACCGGGTGTTTCAAAGGTCAGTTTACCAAACTAATTGAGGTAAACTGATTTATTAAACACAATGCTTTCGTAACTAATGTTGCACAACCTGTTTTTGAGCAATGATAAAATCAACTGTGAAGGTCATTGTCAACATTTTTATGTTTTAACTCGGTAAACTGACTTTTGAAACACCCGGTATATTCCTAACGAATAAATCCCTTGAATATTTTCGGAATTAATTAATTTATTTATTTTAATTCACAATTCCAACAGGAAACCCCTTCCCTAGAAGTGGAAGTGGATTTAAATATTGTTATTATGACAAGATTTTAATAGCTTAGTTTAAAACACAACAACTTAACAATAAATATACAAATGTTTTTACCTTCTACTTACATTTAGTTTCTTCGCAACTTTTTTCAACATAATGTCCTTGTACTCCGAGTTTCTATATTGCTCTTGTGCCTGATCATAGAGAGCTGGAAACATTCGGACAGTTTCAATAAGCTCCTCCGCTTTTATACCCGCCATTTCACTGAATTTAACACAAAAACTGCCACCGACAACCTTCCCGCATCAAGTAAACGAATGGTCTGCAATGTCGGAGCATGACGGGATACCGGAATCGGAGACGGGTGGGAGTAGGACGGGTCGCGTGTCGGACAGGTGAGACCTACTGCATTCCAAACCATTGTTTATTCCCATATCATACAGTCGTCCCGCTGTATGACCGTAGTCGGATCGGAAGGCTGTATGACAGGTGTGTCCAGGCCTTTAGGCTTAAACGACTGCCAGCACCTTGGATGACCAGGGGTATACAGATGGCCATGAGACGTCGAGATCGGGCATTTAGGACTTATAAGAGGGACCGTATCGAAGTCAACTGGCAATTGTACAAGTCTGCAAGGAATCGGTGTACCCAAGTGATAAGGAACGCTAAACGCCGCCACATTCTAGATAATATTTCCTCTTCATCTCCTGCCGTCATCTGGAAGTTCCTTGGGACTCTTGGTATCGGCAGATCGCGACATGTGGACTTTCCACAATCCATAAATCTCGATTCCCTACACCAACATTTTACCACCTCTCTCACGTTGGACATTTTATCTGAACATAACACCCGTACTTACATAAATAGTCTACCACGCCCTAACTTAAACCCTTTTCACTTCAGTCCGGTTGCAGAAGGAGAGATTAAGAAGATTATTCAATCTATCAGATCCCAAGCAGTTGGTTGTGATGGCATTAGTCGAAAAATGATCACCACATTGCTGGTCCACCTCCTTCCCGCTATCTCCCATATTGTTAACTTTTCTGTCATGTCTGGCACATTTCCTTCTCTGTGGCGGAGAGCGTATGTGCGCCCGTTACCTAAAACTCCCAATCCGTCTCTTCCCACACGCTTTCGTCCAATTTCTATCCTTCCCTTCCTCTCCAAGGTGCTAGAGGCCTGCGTCCACAAACAGTTCTCCCACTTCATTTACAGTAACAACTTACTCAGTCCCTTTCAGTCAGGGTTTCGACTCTGACTGAAAGGGACTCTGCTCTTCTTAAAGTGACTGGCGATATTAAGGTGGGGATGGAGAATACTAAGGTTACTACCTTAGTACTGGTTGATTTTTCGAATGCCTTCAATACCGTCAGTCATGAACTTCTCCTTGCTGTCCTATCCCATTTCTCGGTCTCTCAAGATGCACTGGGCTGGTTTTCCTCTTACCTTCGGGATCGTCAGCAGTCAGTCAGTGTCGAAGATTCTTCCTCTAGCTGGTGTGATCTTACTGCTGGCGTCCCTCAAGGCGGTATTCTTTCACCTCTTCTGTTTTCTATCTTCATTAATCTTATCATCCCAAGACTTCAGTGTTCCTTTCATCTCTGCGCTGATGACTTGCAGCTATACTACCAGACAGAGTTGTGCAATGTATCGTCCGCGATTTCGGCTATAAATAGTGACCTGACAGCCATTAAACACTGGTCTGATATGTTTGGCGTATCGGTCAATCCAAATAAATGTCAGGCTATTGTCATCGGGAGTAACCGAGCTATGAGCCAGCTCGACCTTGCCTCACTTCCACCACTTACCTACGATGGCATGGTTATTCCATACTGTGAGAGTGTGAAAGACCTCGGAGTGTATATTGACACAACTCTGAGCTGGCGACAACAAGTTGCATCTGTGTGCCAGAAAGTGACAGGTTCGCTGCGGGCCCTCTATAGACTTAGAAACTTTCTTCCATCGAAAACTAAGGTAATGCTTGTTCAGTCTCTTATATTCCCTATAATCGACTATGGTGATATGTGCTACTTTGACCTGAATGCAGATCTGCTCAATAAGCTTGACCGTCTTCTTAACAATTGCATTCGATTCTTTTTTAATTTACGCAAATACGATCACGTGTCTCAGCATCGCTCTCATTTGAAATGGCTTCCAATTCGCCAACGCAGACAGACACGAGCATTAACTACCCTATATTCTTTACTCTTTTCCCCAAATTCTCCTTCCTACCTCACTTCTCAAATTCAATATCTAGGTGCAAACCACGCTAAAAATCTTAGACCTTCAGACAACCTACTTCTTCACTGTCCGACTCACCGGTCTGACTTCGTACATTCCACTTTTTTGGTACAATCTGTCCTGTTATGGAACGCGCTCCCTCTCGAGATCAGGATGGCAAAAACTCGGCAAACATTTAAATACCTGTTGCGGCAACATTTTTTAAACACTCTATCAAATCCATCTTAATTTTATACTCTCTCCATTTAGAATTTATATTATATGTATTTAAGTATATAAATGTATATGTATGTATATTTATGTATTATGTGTATTAGTATTATATGTGTATTACTTATTGTATTTATCTTTAAAATTATTCCAATGTTATTTATATAAGTACTCTGGTTATATGATATTCTAGATATGCTATAGTTTTAATAAATCACATTTTTAATTTCTGTGCATCTACCACGTTTGGCTCTGCATCGCCCTAAGGTCGACTGGTAGAAAATGCCTACGGCATTAAGTCCGCCTTTGCCACATTTGTGCATAAAGATTAAAATAAATAAATAAATAAATCATAACAGAACTCTTCGCTCTACAAATAATCTTCTACTCTTATGCCCTGCCCACACTTCTGCGTGTGTTCATTCTTCCTTCCTCACTCAATCTGTACTTCTATGGAATGCTCTTCCCCAGGATATCAGAATGGCGACCAGTCGTAATTCGTTTAGGGCGAAGGTGCGGGCTCTTCTTGACCGGAATGTAGCGGAATCATCACAAATATGATAGTAGCCCGGATCGCTACCTACTGTGTTGACCGTCTCAACTGGTTTAGATCATCTTTAATTTCGGCAGCAGCAACGCGAATACGCTCCAGCAACTCTTCTCTGGTGTTGACTGGCTCAAAATAAACTTTCTGTTTCATCCAACGCCAGAGATAAAAGTCCAGTGGCGTTAAGTCTGGTGAACGCGGTGGCCAGGCTACAGGACCTTACAGGAAATTATAGACAACTGTTCGGTTCCATAATCGGTTTAATAATGTTCTAAATAAATGTGTGCAGTTACATATAAGGTAAGGCGAGCCGCACACTACACCTCCCCTTTTTATAAAAAAAAATGATTTATCCTATAAATTATTTTTATACACCAAACAATGAGAAAAAAAATACAAGTTTTACATAACATATTATGTTTAATACAATTTTACTAATTTTATGTAACAAATAACTTAGTATGATTTTTATGAATAACATAATATTTTCCATCTTTTAAAATTTTAACATTTGGTGGTATGTCCTCTAGTACTTTATATGGGCCTAAATATAATTTATCCAACTTATTTCCTACTTGATTTTTAACCAAAACTAAATCTCCATACTTATAGTTACATATATTCATATTTTTATCGTAGTTTATTTTCCTTAATTCTTTACTTTTTAATAAATTGAACCTAGCTTCGGTTTGTGCTCTCTGAAGTCTATATTTTAGTTCTAATGGGTAAGAATCAGGATTGTATACTGGATCTACGTACATATTTTGTGCTAAATTGGTTGGTAAATTACAATTTTTACCAAAAACCAACTCGAATGGAGAATATTTTGTCTCAGTATGAACAGTGGTATTGAAAGAAAAACACCAAAATGGAAGCCAAGTACTCCAGTCTGTTCTGTTGTTTTCACATTGGATTCTCAGATAAGCTCCTAGAACCCTATGAGTATTCTCTAAGCCTCCCAGAGTTTCGTGGTGATAGGCGGTAGAATGGAGTTTATTTATGTGCAATAACTTACATACCTCAGTAAAAACTGATGACATAAACTCTGTTCCCTGATCTGTAATTATTTCCTTCGGAATACCATATCTTAAAATAAAATTATTTACAAATAACCTAGCTACTGAAACTGTATCCTTCCTTTCTAAGGGATAAGCTTCAACGTATTTAGTTAAATCGCACTGTAACGTTAGAATGTACTTAAAGTTATAATTATCTATATCTAATGGACCCATTATATCTAAACTAACTCTTTCAAATGCTGTGGATGCCGTGGATGTGATGACCATCGGCTCCTTAGTGTGCCTGTTGGAGTGCTTTTGAATTTGACAACTTTTACACTTTTTAACGTACTCTATGACGTCATTATTCATTCCTGGCCAATAATAATATTTCCTGATATTATTTAACATCCTATTTACCCCCGCGTGGCCACTCGTGGGCAATAGATGAAAGTCATTTAAAATCACAGTCTTCGTGTCTCTGTCATCAATTCTTATCACGTCGTTAATAACAAGTAACTTAGGAATGTCACCTATAGAAGTAATTTCCTTTAAAACCTTGTTTATAATACTATTATAGCGCTTATTTTTTATTATGACGAGCTCTTTTAACTGTATTCGCTTGCAAAAACGTTGTAATTCTCTCGCTAACACACTTACGGTCGATAACGATCGAGACATTACATAAATTGCTGATTTTTCAGCTACGAATATGCAACTACCATTATCACTAGTTAAACAGTCTAGTTTTTTAATCTGATTTAACGTATCTTTACTACAAAATAAAACTAATTCGACGCTGTCAATTGGTCGTTTGAGAATTTCCACTACCTTAGGCTGATCAGACCTTGGGGCAGAAGATATCTCAGAAGTCGTGTCATTATTGTCACAGTCAGTCTGTAACTTACGAGCTTGAGCTCTTGTCATGACCAATACTGCATGCTTATACATATCTTTTAAACTGGTGGATGTAATAGGCATGGGTATCCGGCTCAATGCATCTGCAGCTGCGTTGTGCCGTCCCGGGATGTAACTTATCTCAAAATCGTACTCTTCAAGATATAGTCTAAATTTAGTAAGTCGGCTTGAAGGATCGGTCATATTGAATAAATAAATTAAAGGTTTATGGTCTGTCGTAATATAAAACTTTTTGCCATATAAATAAGGTCTAAAATGTCGTACCGCCCATACGATAGCAAGTAGTTCTAACTCTATCACTGGGTATCGCGTTTCAGCAGGTTTTAAGTTACGACTGGCATACGCGACAACCTTTCCATTGCTATTAGACAGTACGGCACCTAAGCCTTGTTTTGATGCGTCAGTCTGTAGCGTAAAACTGTTACTCTCGGTAAAGTCGGGATAATCAAGTACAGTCGGACTCACGAGTATCTCTTTCAACCTAAAGAACGCTCGCTCACATTCATCACTCCACACAAACGCTACATCTTTCTTACACAACGCATTCAAAGGGTAAGCTATTGCAGCGAAATTCGGAATAAAACGCCTGTAATAGTTAGCAAATGCCACGAATCTTTTTACTTCGTCGACATTCTGCGGTTTAGGATAGTTTTGAAGACACTCTATTTTTGATGGATCGGGGAATATACCTTCAGAAGTAATCTTGTGTCCTAAATAAACTATTTCCTTACGCAAGAACTCGCACTTAGAAGGGTTTAATTTTAAATTAACCTTCCGCAAACATTCTAAAACTTTTATAAGGTTCTTGTTATGGGTCTCAAGACAATTTCCCACTACTGTACAATCGTCCTGGTACAGAAAACATGCCTTATAATTTAATCCTGACATTGCTACAGTCATGAGAACTGCGAAAGCGTTAGGTGACGTCTTTAAACCCATTGGGCATCGTTTCATCTGATACTGTTTATCAGTAGTAAATGCAGTGAATTTTCTCGAATTTTCCTCTAAAGAAAGTTAATAAAAACTTTGACTAAGATCTAATTTCGAAAAGTAGATATTATTCGACAGTGAATCTAATATCTCAGTAATGTTCGGTAATGGAAATTTATCGTCCTGTATATTATTATTAAGCTGACGATAGTCCACTACAAGTCTCCATTTCCTTTCTCCTGACTTATCTGCCTTTTTGGGAACCAGAAGGACGGGACTAGACCATTCCGAAACTGTCTCTTCTATGATATCGTTCTTTAACATATCACTTATTTGCCTTTGTACCTCGCCTTTCAGTGCATTCGGCAACCGATAAGGCTTAACGTACACAGGAGACGTATTTTCCTTTAATTTAATAGAATGTTCTAATAAATTTGTAGTAGTGAGTGTGTCTCCCGGTAGGTGGAAAACATCAGCATACTTCGCACATATGCTTTCAATACTTCGTTGTTCCTCCTTATTTAGATATAAATTTAATTCTAAAGTACTAAGCAAAGTTTTGACTCTATCTGTAGTAACGGTATTATCGTCAAACCTACAAACGTTAAAATTCTCTAAACAACTAGTACTTATATCCGAAAAATGTATACTTACCGAACTATTAGTAGTATTTAAAATCCTAACAGGAATGAAACCATTGCGTGGTTTCGATACAATACCCGCTGTGTAAACACCTTTATAAATTTCTTTAGACAAAATGACGCAATCCCTATCTTGTGACGTCGGAAAGTGTTTTATTACTTCGCAGCGAGGCGGAATTGTAAACATATTGTTACTACTACTATTAACTGAAATATTAACTGATTGGTCTCGGTTTTCTAAACTTAAAGTACCATCTTTATAATTTAATATCCCGTTATATCTCATAAAAAAATCCTGACCGAGAATGCCTTCTGCGGTACAAGATAAGTTCTCAAAAATATAGAACTTTTGATTGAACTCTACGCCGTTAATAATAATATCTAAGTAAATATATCCCAGAGATTCTAAATATCCACTAATCCCTTTAATAGCTATCTTATCCTGCTGCATTAAACCTAACAAACTCTCGTGTCGCGACAACCATTCATACTTAAGCACACATAAACTCGCTCCGCTATCTATTAATAAATTGAAATTACTATTATTTCTAAGTTGACAATTAACTACACAAAAATTACTAAAACTAAAAATGGAATGAGTGCATTCCTTAGGGACGAAAAAATTCTAAGTTATTAGCAATGGTCGCATCATTTTGAACATTGGACTGTTGCACGCTATGCTGGACATATTGACTACGTGCCTTCCGCGCACCGCGATACTGCTGACGCTGCTGAATGTCTTTGCTATTACCTCGATGTATAAATAACGAGGGTCTTTGACCGCTACTCGTGCCATTGTACTGTGTGCGATTTATTTTATTGCTATTATAATTATTATAGAAGTGATTATTACCTCGGCCGCGAAAACCTCGTTTAAAAGTGAAATCACGCCTATTATTTTGGGTAGCCCTAAACTGCATGACCTGATCTTGATGTTGGGTACACATGGACTGTTCGTCTACCGCGGCTCTAATGGCCTCAGGCAATGACGTAAATTCCCTTGATGCAATGATGGTACCGAGACGATGATCGGCTAAACCATCACTAAACCTCTTGATTGCAGTCTTCTCATTGAGAGGACGCAATATTTCGTAGGCATCACGATTATCGTTCGCCTGAGCTATCGTGAGCTTCACGAACAACTCCTCGAGCTCTGTACCGAATTTCTCAATACTTCTACGCCCTTGAGAAGCCCTAAACAATTGTGTTTGCAAAGCGACCGTAGACTTTATAGGCAATAAATATTTTCGAATGTCCTGTACAAAAGTTTCAGCATCCCTATATGTAGACCTAAGCCGAAGTTTGGCACTTGGTGACAACCGAGTTTTTAAGACAAATTCTATTAATTTGCTTCTACTTTCCTCATTTAAAACTGAATTATAAAATAAAATACCATCTACGAGCTGCTTAGTCACCTGCTCCTGGCCATTCATTACCGGCAATAAGGAAATTGCAGTTTTAATATCAAATGAGTCAGCCATTTTAAAAATACCTAATAAATCCCTAGAACTAGTTTGACTGCTATTGTCTATCATACAAAATAAACCCTTTATATATTTAAAAGTTAATTGAATTTCATTAATTAATGTTTGAAAGCACTCACAAGATTCTTTGCTTAACTTGCGATCAGTAACTTCTTGGTTCAACTGAGTCAAAATATAATCCAACTTTTTATACTCCTTTTCAGCTTCCCCTAACTTCTTAAAACCTAATTCCTGTTTACGCCTATCCGGACCAAGTTTCACTAAATATTCCTTTAAATATTTTAACTTTGAATGCAATTCGTCTAATTGTTGGGACATACCTTTAATATAATACAAAAATACAGTAAAATAATACCATAACTATTGAAATAAAAATAATAACGTAAAGAAAATGATTGACATCGCAAAAATACGGGTGAATGCGCTTACCGCCACCGGATATGTAAGTAGGTCACGAATGACGTCGAACGTGGTGTAATTGATTATTACGAAATTCAACTATTGAGCTGGAACTGACTCCCGGCTGCTCCACATCGGACCCGTACTATTATCTCCCGGCAGCCTGCACATCCTCTCATCATAGGCTTGAGCATTCTCCCGACACCCGGCACCAACACACAACATCTTCAAAAATATCAAGAATCGAGAGAGAGATCGATCGATAATCGAATCAGATTTATTTTTGATCTTCTTTCATGGTATTCTTCTGTAAGAGTCTTTTGACTTTTGTCTTCTCTAAAATCTTCTATGAGTAATCTTCATCGTCTTTCTTCAAAATCAATTTCTCTTCAACATTTTCATTCTTCTAACGTTCCTCAATTTACATTCTTCAATAATCTTCTAGTCTTCTAAATAACTATACGCCTTCTTTCTTCATAATTTTAAAATTTCAATAAAAATTTAAATGAATAAAAAACTGCTGGCTAAGGGTCGCCATGTGACGTAGGTAAATTATAGACAACTGTTCGGTTCCATAATCGGTTTAATAATGTTCTAAATAAATGTGTGCAGTTACATATAAGGTAAGGCGAGCCGCACACTACAACCGCCGCGGCCAATCCACTGTGGATGATATTGGTCTAGGTGTGCCCTTACCGCTCGGGCAAATTGTGGAGGAGCTCCATCTAACTGAAGCCACATGCGTCGCCGATATGACAATGGTAATTCTAATAACGCTTCAGAAAATTCATTGGTCAGAAACTCTAAAAATCTTGGCCATTTTAAATTTCTTGGGAGTAACATGGGGCCAATCAATTGATCATCTATCATTAACAGAAAATTCATGCTGAAATGTTGACGTTCTAACAGCATGTGGAATTTCAGCCATCCACAAGTGTAGATTTCTAAAATTTGTAATTCCTCTTCTTGTGAATGATGCCTCATCTGTCCACATTATGCGTATTAGAAATGCTGTTGTACGTCGCATATTCTGAGTTACCCACAAGCAGAATACTGATCGTGCAGCATTGCCTAACTCTCTTATATCCTGCACACGTCTTAAATGATATGGATGTAGTCCTTCTTTCTTCAAAATCTTCCAGACTGTGCATCGTGATATGCCTAAACACGTTGAAATACGACGGATACTGAGTCTTGGATCACTGAAGATTAAATTCAACACCGCTTCTTCACTATGTACAGGTACAGATGGGTTACGTTCACCTTTAAGTTTTGGTCTGGTGATCATGACGCACAACGCTGCGGTATGCGCCGCAACGCAGCGTCACGACGCAGCATTTAGCGTCGCTGCGGAGAGGTGGTCAGTTGATTTTGCCGCAGCTACCAAGGTAGACGTGAACATGAACAATTTTTCTGTAATTTGTGCTTTGCTTGAAGAAGAGGAAGAAGAAGAATTATTAACTCCGAGGAACATGTTTTTACAACGGAGGAGTGAAGGTTGTTACGAAACCTTAATAAAAAGGCATTTAATTAATTGTGAAGAAAAATTCATGGGTTACTTTCGGGTTTCAAGGGAGATCTATAACAAGATTTTAATGGCCATAAAAGATGATATTAGTGACACACAGCCTAGAACCAGAAATCGGAATTTTGCTATTACGGCACAAGAAAAACTATTCCTAACGTTAAGGTAAGTTAAATGAATTTATTTCGGTAATTAAATAAAACAATTCATAATCATATTATTTTTATTAATCGAATACAGTACTCGGTATAACATCAAAGTATGTTGAATGATTGTTGTGGGGATGGTGTCTCTCGTTGCGAGTTGTATGCGTGGATTGGATGCTGTGGTGTGTTGAATGATTGCTGTGGGGATGGTGTCTCTCGTTGCGAGTTGTATGCGTGGATTGGTTGCTGTAGTGTGTTGAATGATTGCTGTGGGGATGGTGTCTCTCGTTGCGCCAAGACCAATAATGCCATTTCAGTAACGATGTTACAAACTTGTGCTCTGATTTGAGCTATTTTGACCGGAGGAAATTGACAAACTACGTCGGCCGTCTTACATAAACTTTTAATGAACAAAAAAAACTAATGAGTTAAAAATAAACATTTTTTTAATTATTTTCCCTATTAAACCAATGCAAAATATCAATTATTATCTGTAATATGTGCCTGTGCCTATCATATTCATAAAATTAAATAGTTAGGCTTTTTATTTATATTTAAAATCCAACAGAGGCAGATTGTGGTGCAAAAAAACAATTTTTTCTGCACGTTCGGGAGCAAGTCGGTTTCGTTTTTCCTCGTAAATTAAACCTGCCTCGGTAAATAGTCTTTCTGAATAAACAGAGCTTGCTGGTGTGATAAAGTATCGTTTAGCAAGCTTACTTATAATAGGAAATCTATTCTTATTGGTACTCAAAGTCCACCATTCATATGGGTTTATTTTTCTGTCAGCCTTTGGTAATGCGATGTAGTTGGCGATTTCTTCAGCAGTGGCATTCTTGGGTTGCTCTTCAGTAGGTTGCTCTATAGATGATTCTTCAAAACATGCCCAAAATAGTTTATGAGTTTCCGAATCGATCTGCTCACTTTCATTGTCTAAACGAGACCTTTTGGATGCCGTTTCTGGATCCGAATCATCATTTTCGTCATCTAAAGAAAGCCTAAAGGTGCGTATCCATTAGAGCAGCCTCAGGCCGAGCAGCCTCGACTTGAAGCAAACCGAGGCTGCTCACTCCGAGGCATAGGCTCGAGGCACGTTGCGGATCAAGGTGAGGCATGTCGCCTCGCCTAGATCCGAAACTAGTGTAAAGTAAGAACGCGATGACACCAGACGCGCGTAGAGTAGCCGCTGCTTTAATAGCCATTAACATTATAAAAAAAAAGAGAATACAACAAAAAACTATACAAAAGAGGAAGCATCGATGGTGGATAAAAGAGTTATAACGCAATAGAATTCAGCATGGATGTGACCCATTTGCTATTGGACATAACGTTTGAAGATGGTGATAGCTTTAAATATTTTACACGCATGAGCACTGGTGACTTTAAGTTGCTACTATCAATGATTACACCTTTGATAGAAAAAAAAGATACGAACTTTCGTTGTGCTATTTCAGCAAGGGAGAGACTAGTTGTAACACTGCGATATTTAGCAACTGGCGACTCATATACTAGTCTACAATATCTGTTTAGAATATCAAAGCAGTCAATTTCTAAAATTATACCACAAACTACTGAAGCAATAATCGAAGTGCTAAAGGACTATGTTAAGGTAAGTAAAACGCTCTGAAATTAAATTGAAATGTTTTTAATTGTTGAAAATTATGTCTAGCGTTAACAATAGGTGCCGAGTACGGGCAAGGTTATTCAGTAAAATCACTATCTGTCTTATTGTTAAGAACTGAATGCAGTGCCTCGAGTTGGACTTGCTTTGAAGTTTGCGGGCTTGTAGGAGCTAGCGTGCTGGGTGTGGGAGCTAGAGTTCTGAGTGTGGGGCCTTGCGGGCTGGGTGTGAGGGCTTGCGGGCTGGGTGTGGAGGCTTGCGGGCTGGGTGTGGGGACATATGTTGATGCGTAAACGGATGAAGAAGATGATTCATTTACATATTGTCTGCCTGCATATTGTTGAGTGAAATATCCATAATTGTTTTGGCGTGGAATTCGTCCCATGTCTGCTTCAAAAATGGTGTCCATTATACATTTCTTCACGCATGCTAACGTGTGGGCGTCATATTTTCTGAGTTCAGATGCCACATGTTTTCCAAAGGTATAGCAGGCATCATCTTTTGTATGAAGTACTTCCATAGCTTCCTGTAATAACATGTCATCTGTGGTATTATTTATATTTATTACAGGTGAGGCTTCTGCCGTTCTTTTTGTTACCCTTGTCTTTTTATTCTTTGCAGCATCTTTGGCTGACCGGTCCAAGTTTGTAGTAAAGTTACTAGATTCGTTTATCTCTGTGTTAGTAGGCAAATCTGATGTCTCATCTGTTTCTGTTGATTGTGTTGTTGATAAATCAGTTATTGGCGAGTCAGCCGCCGTTTATATCTCCTATAATCAGATAATTAAATTAACTTCTTTATTTTTACAGTTACCATCATGTGAAGAGGAATGGCTGCAACTGGCGCAAGATTGGGAAAAGAAATGGAATTTTCCCCATTGCATAGCATCGATGGATGGTGCTGGCAATGTCTCATATAGACCGTGAGTCTCTGCGGTCGCTTGACCGAAATGAACGTGCATGTTTGGCTCCTCTGAGTGTAAGAGGTGTTTCACACGTGTCGCGTCAGTGAAGTCTCCCATCCCAGTCAGATACTCTCCTGCTCCAGCCGCAATTTCTAGGGACCCGTATCCCTGGACGAATTGCACTAGCTTTTCCTGGTCAAACGAGCTGGTACCATGCTTTTGCGCTGCTAGCTCTAGCTTATACCAGAACATCAAATGGTGGTAGTATGCATGTGCTAACGCCGGAACGTCCGAGATGTCCACGATCGAACTACCCCTCGCCGTCACGAACGTGGCAACGGCCCCCCGGTTTAGGAGAACTAGGCCGATTCTTTCAGCCCAGTTCTCCAATGCCCTGCCCCTCGGGTTCGTGCGCAGGGAACCCCAAGCCTGCGACCAGGCGTTGAAGTCCCCCAGCACAAGAACCGGGTGGGGGCGATAGGCATCGACGACGACGGTCAGCTGAGCGAGCCATTGCTCGTACTCAGTTAGGTTTCGGTTCGGCGTGAAATAAGCGGCCACGACCGCTATATCCCCAACTATCGCCGCTACACAGCCCCGTCCCCTTGCAACTACTGCAAGAGGTGGAGTGCCGGCTTCGGTACCGTGCACCAGGGCCGCCGTGCCGTCCAAGTCGGTCTCCCAGGCAGGCCCGAGAAACCGATGGACATATGGCTCGGCGATAGCGGCGATGTTGATGGACCACTGTGCCATGCTCTGGAGCAGAAGATCCTGAGCATCGGCACCGTGGCCTACGTTCACCTGGAGGATGCGGAGATGTGGATCCATCACTGGACTTCCATCCCCGCATCCCGCAGCGAACTTTGCGGCTGTCCAGCGGCACTCCCCGTCTGGATCAGCGGCCCGGAGGCGGAAGGTCGGCCTCCCGGCTTCGGTCGTGATAGGCCACAGGTCTTACCACCAACCCGGTGGTCGGCAGGCTTGCCCCCCGCTGCGCACCTAAAGCAACGCAGCGGAGCGTTGCAGCCACCCGCCTTGTGACCGGGCTGGCCACAGCGGAAGCATCGGTCACCTACGGTGGCCTCCGCCGTGCAGTGCACTCCTACGTGCCCCACCGACCTACGTGCACCTTGCCGGTCGGGCCTGCAGGAGTCGTGCCTGCGCCCTCAGGAAACCTCCGACCAGGAGGCTCCGTCCATCGGCCACCTTCTGGGCCGCCGCGATGGGGCAGCTGACAACCGCTGCCCCCTGTCGACCGGGGCCGAAGCGTATTGCTCCGGCCTTCACGCTGTCCAGAGGGCAGCTTCCCGTCTCCGCCACGGCGAGTCTGAGCTCGTCCGCCGTGACAGAGTCGTCCAGGCCCGTGATGCGAACTTCGGCGCATTTAGTGGGCCTGGACACTCGGACGTCAGCTGCATCCAGTGACTCCCTCAGCTTAGCCGCTAGGGCGTCGGCTTTGGGGCCACTGGTAGCGCCGGCGACCTCGAGGAGCCGGGCTCCCGTCCGTGTGTTTTTACACCGGACGCCCGGAATCTCGAGGGCTTTGAGGTCCACGTTGGCCTTGACTTTCGTCAAGACCTCGGCGTAACCCACGCCCCTCTCCGCTGCCTCCGCCGTCAAAGCGATAACGACGGCCGAGGAGCGAGGGGCGCGGAGCTTCCTCGGCGCTCCCTTCGCGGCGGCGGCGGCGTCCCTCCTCGCCTTCTTGGCCGCTTTTTTGGCGGCCTTCCGCCTCTTTTTACTGTCCCCGGCCACCGTCCAGCCCCGCTCCAACGGGCGCTGTGCGGTGTCAGCTGAGGCCGAGACTGGGGCTTGGGTTGGGGCCGCCTTCCCCCTCCCTTTGCCCTTTCCGGCCTTCTGGGGCGGGGGCGCAGATGACGGCCCATCCACCCTAGCTGCTGGCTCTCTATTGCGGAGATGCGCCTCATTATACGCTCCTCCATCTCCGCAATGAGACGGACTAAGCCCGGCTCCGGCTCCGGGGCGGACAACGCCAACGGTGCCGAAGGCGCTGGTGTGGCACCAGCGTGGGCACGAGCCTTGACGAGATCCGCCTCGAGGCGGGCTCTCTCCCTAGCGTGGGCCTTGCTCTCAGCCACGAGGAGTCTACCCGCCTCAATTATGGAGCGCACGACCGCTACCAGGGCCTCCTGTTTGGGACCCCTGGCTACCCCGGATGTCTGGAGCAGGCAATCGGCCACGCCGATTGCCTCCTCGATCTGGTCCACGGGGTTGCCGGCTTTGCCACCCTCCTTCTCGCTCCTCTCCTCGCTCCTCTATTCGGGCACGTCTGTCGACCTCTCGGACGCGACCCTTTTCACAGGAGCGTAGGAGCATAGGGGCTCCTTCTTCTTCTCAAGGGCACCCCTAGGGAGTCGGCCTCCGCCGCGAGCGCCTCTGCGGCTTGTGCCGACTTTTGGAGCCGTGGCTTCATCGCTCGAGGCCGTCTCCAATTGCCTCTTCAGGCCCAGGCGAAGCGAGCGCTTTTTGCGCTTTGGAGTACCCTTCTGGTGCTGCTCCGCAGCTGAGACCATAGGGGTACTCGCTCCGCTCCTCTCCGAGGCAGTGTCGGTGTTCGACACTACCTCCAGGTTTTTCGCGTCCTCCGCGATAACGTCGCCGGATTTACTGCTCGGCGACGGGCAGGTTCGACATTCGGTGCTCCCCCCAGAATACGACTGGGAGCTGCCGGAGCCGTTTGGCTCCGGGAGGGATTCCCCAGACACTGTGTGTCCGGAACCCTCCTGGGTAGATTTCTCTATTTTCCTCATGTCATGTTTTTTAAGTTTTACGGCCTTCGACGGGGACGCCTTCGGCACTGGACTCCCTCCAGCGACTCAGCCCCTTGCCAGGCGTCAGAACGTGGGCGTTCGAGTACGCCTGTAGTGGGATTGAGCCCATATTTACCATCGTGGACCTTGCGGATAGATGTTTTGTCGAGGGTGAGGACGCGTGCATGTCCGGGATCTGTAATTAAGTCGCGCGTGTTAGGTGTTTGCGTCTGAGTTGGAGTGGAACGTGGGGATAAAGGACTCCAGGGATAAAAAAAAATCCTAGTGTATTCCAAGTGGTGTAGGACTGAGATTTGCAGCCTGTGAGGGAAAGGACATTAATGCCTTTCGGAGCCTGATCGATCGGGCAGTCACCACTACAGACCTCAATAAGTGGACTTGTGAGCCACAGATGTATATTCTTTTGAGTTTTGGAGCGAGACCCGAGGCTGTTCGATGAAGCCTCGGTTGTAGACATCGACATTATCTTATTTTATCAGTTGCATAGTTAATATAATAGTAGGGTACAGACTTGCGACAAACTCCGATACGGTTTATGCGTCAATCTGGTTGCGAATGTACGTTCGCGTTGTTTCTGGGCTTGCACCAGATCCGATACCTCTTTGCGGTATCTAGCAATGTAGGATTCTATTTCCTATCATTACTAGATACCGCGATAGAAGATGCATTAATGTTATTATTGTTAAATTCTAAGACATTATTAGAAGACCGAATTTTATCTGTTTACAAAGAGTAGTTGCTTATGTACTTAGAGCTATTTACAATTTTAAAAATTCACGTCATAAAAATACAAGTTTTCTGTCAACACAAGAACTGCAAATATCATTAAATTCTATTATACTTCAAATGTTTCCCGAAGAGTATACCATTTTGCATTTAGGGAAGTCCCTACCGCGTAATAATCGTCTCATTTCTTTATCTCCGTTTATAGACTCTAATAGCACTCTACGTGTTGGCGGTAGGCTTGACAATTCTCTCTACGATTTTAATATAAAGCATCCCATTTTAATTTGTTGTAAGCATCCTATAACAAAATTAATATTCCAATGCGAACATTTGAAGCTTTAACATGCTGGACCACAGCTTTTATTGACAAATATACGTCAGCGATACTGGCCTATGGCGCGAAATACACACAAACGGCGTAAGGCATAAGGCGCGGCGCAGGCGTGGAACGGATACGCCACGGACGCGATTGAAATTATATAGAAGAGGCGAAGCGACGTCACGATGCGTCATTATACAGGCTGATTTCGTTGCGATAGCATGTCTTCCTCTTCAGATGACGAAGATGCGCTTGCTTTGCTGCAACTAATTAATGTGCAGAGGCACAGAAGATATTGGATCCACCCCGTGTGGAAATTATCAGAAGAGCATAGATATTTTGAAATAATGGAAAGATTACATGAATATCCTGATCGTTTTCGCACAGTGTATAAAATGTCACAAGAATGTTTCCATAATCTATTGTCAAAAGTGAAACACGGTCTTCAGAAACAGCATACACATTGGAGAGAACCAGTCTGTGCTGAAGAAAGACTATTGATAACATTAAGGTAAGTAAAACATTTTTGTTGTTTAATTAATTTTTAATGATTTATTATTTAAGAAAATAAATTGACAAAACCAAGTACAGACAGGAGGTATAGAGCACAGCCATACGTTTTCTTAAATATACAATGAAATATTGGCTGTGTTTGGCAGAAAATAGCGCTAGGAAGCGCTTGTAAGCAAAATGGCGATCGCTAAGGGGAAAGCGCTGTCAAATGACACATATATTTTACTATTATTTGGACTGACATTATTATTTATTTTAATATTACTTGAAACTAATTGCACAAAACAACTTATAAATTCTACTTTTAAAACAAACAAAATAAATAAGAAAAATGGCGAATTGTGTCAGCGGTATTGAAGTTAGCAAACGTGTACTGGCCGAAAACTGTCAGCGCTAGTAAGCGCACATAAGCGTTTCCTAGCGCTATTTTCTGCCAAACAGCCATTGATGTTATGTTACTTATAAATATAAACATTATTTTATCGAGGTTTCTACGACATTCTAAAGTAATCACTGGCATCATCATCATGAGGCAAAACCGCAGTAGTTGGAGAAAACATCGGTAAATACGTTTTTCTGTAAGCACCAGTTGTCTGCGACTGCTGAGTTGCTGGCCCTCCGTAAGCACCGGTTGTCTGCGTCTGCTGAGGTGCTGGACCTCCGTAAGCACCAGTTGTCTGTCTGCTGAAGTGCTGAACCTCCGTAAGCACCAGTTTTCTGCGTCTGCTGAAGTTCCGAAGCTCCATAAGTGCCAGTTATCTGAGTCTGCTGAGGTGTCGGTTGCGTCTGATGAAGTGCCGGCTCGTGTATTGGACTTCCATATGATCTCAATTGTACAGATGAACCGTACTCTGACTCCCGTGACGGGGTTCTTTGGTAAGGGGATTCAGTTCTCAATGAACTCCTCGAATATGAGATAGGACTATTACTTGGTTCTTTTAAAATTTGTCCAATTAAGTTAAGTACGCCTATCTTAAATTTTATTTTCTGGTCTCGAGTCATTCCTTTCACATCTGGTAGCATGCTGCGGAAAAAGGCCATATCAGCGTCTGAATCGCCCACGTATTGTTCTTTTGTATTGATTTGTTTGGTTTTTCTTGAAAAGTATTCGTACGCAGACTTATTAACATCACTTAGATTAATCTGTGACTTTTTTGGTAGTAGTGGTGTAGGTTGTGGCGTTAGACAATCAATCACATTTTGTCCGACTGCAAATGAACCACCAGACATCGATGTCAATCCGTCTTCATCCTCATCGATTGGATCTGTATTTCTGTCTAAATTACCTTTGGAGGATCGGGATTTTAAAAAACTAAGAAATGTAAGTGTGATGCAAGGTAGTATATTCTTTTTTTGGTTTGGCGGCAGAGCCCGACGGTGCATTCATGTTCTTCTTATTCTTTGAGTAGCTGCATCTGATATTCTTCACCGCTCTTTGCACTCTTTAGCTGAAAGAAAGACCATACAACTATGACATGAAATTTACATTTATATGTATATGTGGATTGTTTGTAAAAATATTTCATTCTTTTTAACTGAAGACTAAAACGACAGTTCTTACGACCTTACTAGTTGATTCAATAAATTAACCCTAGAAGCCCAATCATATTTCACTGGCTATAAAGCCCAATCATATTTCACTGGCTATAAAGCCCAATCATACGTAAAAATAATGTGTAAAAATAAAATCGCTCTATTTTCTATAATTTTTTAGTTATGATCTATTTGAAGGGATTAGTTTATTAAAAATACAGTTTTCATTAATAAATAAAATGCTTTTTAGGATAATATAATCTTTATTCACACAATAATAGTACTTTTACTGAACCATAAAAAATAAATCAACAAAAACTTCAAAACTTTTTCTTTTTCTTATAATTAGGATATTTTTACAAAAATCAACTAGTTTTAAACTTTTTTCAAAAATTAAATTAACTTGTAATAATACTATATTAGTGTCATAAAAAAAAATAGCCTTTATAGACAATCTTGACAAATATCAATATTGTGTTCTTTGCCCTTTGGCCTTTTGGCATTTGCAACACTGCGCTTTGGTCATCCGCCTTTTTTTATATGAACAAAATCCGCAATAGCGTCGTTTCTTTGGTTCTGGCTCATCATTACTATTTTCTGGAGATGCTGGGACCACATTTTTTAAAACTTTTGTTATATTGTCACGTAGAGTCCCCTTCAAAGTGGGCGCCTCCAGTCGTTTTTGCATCCAAGGTGCCGTCAAGTCTGTGCTTAATTTTTTCATAAAATCTTTGCGGCTCATTGGTTTTTCTTGTTTACGAGTATTTATCTTATTATGACAGTATATGATATAGGAGTTCACAAAAGCCATATTTAACATTCCGTAAAATACTGCCATTGGCCACCTATTTGTCTTCCTGTTACTGGACATAGAGGAACACATCTGATCGAAGGAATCAACACCTCCTTTCGTTTGATTATAAAATAATATCATGTCTGGTTTTCCATTACTTTCATTTATTACGGCATTTTCATCACACGACGATAATAAAAATACCATTTTCGACGGCTTTGGTTTATAGGAAACCAATGTCAAAGGGCCATCGAAGCAAAAAATTGAAGATCCTACCGGCCGTGAACGAGTGTTTTTTATCTCTTCGGGTATTTCTCTTTTATTTGACCTGATGGTTCCTACTATTGTTAGGTGGTATGGAGTCTGGAGCAAGTTTTTAGCTAATTTGACCGACGTAAACCAGTTGTCGCATGTAACATTTCTGTTTGTTCCGTGTACTGTTTTAGTCAACTCTTTGACAAAACTCGCCTAATGGTAGACCATTTGTTTTCGTACTTTTACCAAGGTAAGGTATGGCATCTATCATGTACTTTGTTGAAGCGTCACACATCATGGGGAATTTTATCCCATATTTATCGGGTTTATATTATTATTAGATTTGCCGCCGTCAAATTTTTCTAACATCTCATGACACCAATTCATACGCTGTTCCCTTACCTCGTCAGTCATCGAATGTGGTACCCAAAGTGAACAAAGTTTCCTAACTTTTAGATGTTCGTGAAGAATTCCATGAACAGTTGGTGCATTTAAATGCAGGGTTTCTTCGATCTGTCGATATGTCACATGCAGGTCTTCTTCCAATAGTTTTCTCACTGCCTCAATGTTTCACGGTACGGTTTTCTATCGGTAGTCACCTCTATTGGCCTACCCGGCCTCGAATCGTCCTCCAAGCTAAAATTGCCGCGATTAAACTGAATAAACCATATTTCTATAGTCCTTAAGGAAGGACACGTTTGTCCTAATGCACCACTCATTTCTTCAAAACACTGTTGCTTAGTCAAGCGACGCTCGAATTTATATAACATTTTTACACGAATATCGCGACGAGTAAATTCACTCATGTTTAATTTTCAAAAAATCGCAATAAATTTACAAAGCTACTTTACGTTACGAAACTTGTACTGTAGGGTGTCCCGTCAATGTATGGGATTTATTTATTTATTTATGGGCCTCCCGAACGAATCCGACAGATCGCAACTACCAACAACCCGTGTCAAGCCGCGCTTCGAAGAAGACGTTTTTATGCTCGCTAGATCTAGCCCTTTTTTCGTCCGAGATCAATCTGGCTAAAAAAAGGCCGAGATCTCGCGAGATCGAGATTGCATTCCCTAGCCATGATACCAATATACGTCTGAGGATTGCATATACAGTTTCTAGCCGTCTTATATTTTTTCGGTGAAAGAAAATACCCGATCTGGTGGAATAAGCAATGCCCAGTGACAGGAAAGACAATCTCCACTTGTTAAGCTAGATCGTGTACCATACAACCATTTAGCAACCATCCCAAGAAGTATAGAATTTTTGTTTTGGCCGCCGCAACCGTCAGCCACAAGCCTTATCCGCTTTTTGCCATCAAGATTTAAATGATTCAGGCAATTGTATAAACATGATGAAATTTCATTAGCGCCTTCGGATGCCATGTCTTCTGTCCACATAAGCATAAACATTGTTTTTGGTGAGGTTAGCGTGAGAGTTTCCCTCAACAATCGTAAAGTTATAACTGCCGAGAGTAATAAGCTGATTGGTCAGCTACTTTTGGCAAAGGTAAAATCTTCTGACACTCAAAAGACCTAATAAGGTTTTCCGGGTTATTTTCCTTCAATTTCTCGAAAAAGCATTTTGCTCGCATTTTGTGTATCCTATACAGCGTACGCAATTTCTGTTTTTCGGTTTCACTTTACTGTATTTTTAGCTTTTCTAACAGGTGCAAGCAGTCCGAACACACGTCTTGGCGTGGAGAACCGAACCCAATATTGAAGGAGGTATTAAATACTTTTCTGAAAAAAGCTTTTAGTCACCGAGTATCCCGGCATCGACTGGTCCTCATACATTTTGTATAATTTAGAGATGTTTAGGCTTGGATCCAAATATATTCACCTTTTTATTTTGCTCCTGCAAAAATGGCTCTCTAACGGCTGAACTTTCATCACAAATTTCTATATAGCTTCTCTCTTCGAACGGAAGTATTTTCGGTCTCTTCCACGTTTTTCTGATGGGGTTTCTCCTGTGGCTTCTTTTTAGCTAATTCTGGTTTCACAACACTTATTTTTGTTTCCGAACTTGTTTTTGTTACGAACTCCACGAGATTTTGAAAACAAACAGACATTGGTCGAAGCGGAGTTGGATGAGTTTGATTTATACTGACATTGCGACTTAAGCAATATTGAAAAGAAAAGTAATATTTTGAGCCTTATTTCAATGAGTAAGATTGGTTGGTTTGAAGACTTTGTTTGATTTGATCTGAACTGAAATCTTTATTTTCGCGTGCAAAATCAGGTTTACCAAAAACATTTAATAATGACTGTAGTGGACTTAAGCACTTGAGTGTCAACTCAACTATAATAAAAGTATTTTGAATTCGTATGTAATAAATAGCTTTACTTTAATAATATTAAACAATACTTTGTTTTAGGTTTTATGAAAAATACCGGATCCCATCAGTATTAGGATGTATTGATGGCACTCATGTGGCGATAATTAAACCAACAATTAGGGAACATGAGGAAAGATTTTTTAATCGCAAACATTTCCACTCTAGAAATGTTATGGTTGTAAACAGTTAAATTTTTAATAACTCAATAACAATTTAGAGGATAATTTAGTTCTATCTTTTTATTTATATTTATAGATATGTGATGCAGATTTAAAAATACTGTCAGTTGATGCATCCATTGGAGGAGCATCTCATGATAGTTTTGTTTGGAATCAAAGTCCTGTGAAACAACATTAAATTGATTTAAATAGTAATAATGAAGATGCTTTTTTACTAGGTTAGTATTATTATGAATAAAGTCAAATATTATGCATTCTTAGTTTGTAAAAATATGTAATGATTAACATTTTTAGGTGATTCTGGATACTCAATACTCAATAACTTTATTGCTTCCATAATGTGAATACATAGGTGACAACAATCAAGCGACATTAATTATGGACCCTGTCCGGCGCAGCACAGTTTGTTTGGGAGAGAGGAAGATAACACAACCACATGTACAGTACAATATTTTGTTTCTAATTAATTAACTCGTAGTAGGATAAAATCATGGTAACTATACATTTCATGTATTATTATATTTTAAATTATAATCAATATTGTTAGTTTTATTTGTTCATAATTTTAAAATTGATTTAAAAATGTATAAGAGAATAAAATATTGACCGTTATTTATTATTTTAATTATTTATTAGTTGTTATTTTAATTATTTGATTGATTAATTATTATTATTTTAGTAGTCATAAATATATTATATTATGAGAAAATAGAAGAAAAGAGGACACTATTATTTCATCCTAATTTTTTTTGTCTCACCTGGTTACAACAATTATAGAATTTATTATTTTTGAGTATTTTATTTACTTTCCAAATACTCTTTTACGCTGTAGAAACACTTGCTTATTAGGAATAACTTTAATTTATTAACAAAAGTATCAAATTTAGTCTCGTTTTTAATATCAATTGGTAATTTATTATAATTTTTTATAGACATGACCAAAGGACCACGAGAATGCATTATTAGTCTAGAAAGGGGTAGATTTAATCTGTTTTTGTGTCTAAAGGAAAAGTTTGTTTCTTTGTCTTCCCGTTTACTATACAGTGCCGGGTATTTTCGGACAAATTTACTTATTTCTAATATGTATATACTGGGTAATGTTAGGACGCCCAATATCTGGAAATGAGGTTTACAAGTATCTGTTTCTTGTATATTAACTAGAATTCTTATTAACTTTTTTTGTAAGGTGAATATGGGTGCTGCGTCTGCACTATTACCCCATAATATCACTCCATAAGACAGCCAAGAAAAGGCGTAGGCGTAGTAGGTGACAAGTGCTGCAGCT